CTACCAGTCCTTCATCACCTTAAACGAAATAGGGTGAATACATCTCGTATTACTGATTTACTGGTAGTCTTGAAACTCTATTTACATACGAATCATAATAGTCAGCTAAATCATGGGATGTCTCATTGAGTGGAGGCTACAAAAAGTAGGAACGATTGTGTCCAGCCACTTTTGTTGTCTTTGTACCCTGTAAAATTATCAGAAGCATCTCCTCCTACTCTAAAGATATCTGTCGCATGGCAGACGAAATCTCGACACAGATTCATTGAGGTGGCAGAACAGCGCGCCGAGGACTTATTTGCAAAAACTACAGTCAAAGGTTTTGGTCAATCCTCCTTCGGCTTTCGGTGAGGCAAATGTACCGATACCTCCAATTCGTCTATTGAAACGAAATTAATATTCCTATAATTTGTTTTATATCATGCTTATTTGATCATTCACTGTAGTCTCACAACAATACCCATCTGACTTCGACTCTGAAGGTAATTCTGGCTACTCTGATTCGTCATTTTAAGTAAATGCTCTTCCTAGGCCCAGCTTCTCTACCATGCCAGACGGACGGAAGGTATTTCTAAATTGGCCTTGCCATAAGTAGACAGGTGATTGACTTGCATTTGGGACAGGCTATTTGTGTGAAAAGTCCTCTGCGAACTGTCGTTTGATTTATATGACTCCGTTTTGAGTCATTGGTAGACATTTGCAAAGCATGATTTCATGTGCTTATTAAAGCGCAGCACGGACTAAATGAAGTCGAATGAGGATGCATCGAGGACATTTTCGCATAAAATGCATGCTCGCAATTGCCGATTCTAGTTAAACTATTTTCTTAGGATAGTATTAGCGGGGCAATGAACAGGAAAAGAAAGAGATAATCAAAATGAGACGTAGAAATTAGCTATAAAGAGTGGAACTTTTGACAAAATCCTCTGATTAGTCTTTTGTTTACAACTAAGTTTCAAGTTTACCATTGGATAATAATTGAGTTGTATTTATCTTATTTCGTTTAAGGTGATCAAGAACTGGTAGTTGAATTTTCTTAAAATGAAATAAGCAGACCTCAATATTTAATTGTATTTCACAACCTTTTCATATCACTGTAGAAAAATTTAAACCGCGACTCCTTCATCAAGTAAGACTAGGCTAAATGCGGTTAATATATATGGTCTATTGATGATCACTAAACCTACTAATAAATGATAAAATAAGCAAAGTAGTCTATTGTAATAGCACTTTAGAAATGTGATATATGAATTTCCTAGGTTTCCTTGAAATTAATTTCTGCTCTGTAACTCATTGTCAATCACGGCAGAGGCGCGTAGTGCTTAACGTGCAGCTGCACTTCCGCAAACAGGGTTCGAGTCTCGCTTGGCATGCTAATGAGATCTGAACAGGGTCAAAACTAGAGTCCACTTTGGCCTGGATGATAATGCATTTTAGAAATAAAAACAATGTGAAATTCACTTTCAAATTGACACCTATTCATAAAATTGTGTGAAAATTTAACTACTCATTCTTCAACATCTTAAACGAAACGGGGTGAATACAGCTCATATATAAAATAATCTGCTGGGTTCAAGTAAGCCCAAAACCGTATACTTGCTATGATGGTCGAAAGATTCATTCCACTTTTCGATAGAGACGAGGCTGCGTGGTCTCTCTGCAAAACCTACACAACACGGATATAGGAAAGTCGTTCTTCTAGTTTTGGTGGGACCAATTTATAAGTACCCTCGATTCGCCCCCCCCCAAACAAAATGATATATTCACAAACATGAGAGGAGATAATAGGTTTTTGCTCAAGATTTACTCTGGGCCTTCTTACAAATTATCTGGTAGAACTTGCATTTTAGGCTGTTCCATCTCTTGCTCCTTATTCCCCTTGGCCTACAGAACACATGCCTTATGCCTGCAGCTCGGATGGGCACTCGGGTCTTCCAGAGTCGGCAGTTGTACCGGCAAGAGAACCTTGGTCGCTGCCGCCAGCCCGCAATCCGTCGGCGGCCCCAATCTCGATAGTAGTCAATGGCTCAGTAGACTCGCCTCATCTCGACAACCCCAGACAGTTGGCAGCTCGCCTGATTGCCGCTGCCTCCTCAGTCGCCAAGGTGACACCATCCAAAGAGTCAACTGCTGCTCTGACGGCAGCAGCACAGGCTGCCATGGCGGCTGCGGTCAATGCCAGTTCCAGAGACGTCAGGTCTTCATCGCACATTGACCTGTCCAGCCTGGATCGTACACTCTTCAATCTGCCCCATGATCAACTGCTGGCCTACTTCGCGAACATGAAGGAGTCTACGGCCTGACGCCAAAACTGGGGGGAAGTGAATGAAAGCGGATTCCTACCCAATGGGATAAGTGAAGGCCGTCGACGTAATCCCACCAATTAAGGTGCCAAAGTGCAGTCTTGACGACACTTTTTCGCTCGGCATCCGTCAGCCACGTCTTACTCCCAGCCTCACGACTCACCTTTCGCTCCGCCTCACGCCGAGCGCCCATCAACGGGGCCCGAGGACAGACTAGTCGAGCTGTCACTTCAAGGAAACCGCCAAATACGACTTTCATTGTGCCTCCTAGGTTTAGTCCTCTTAATCCCCTCTTTCCCGGAACTGATTCTTTGTCATTTTGACTACATACACTACTCTCTATCCGCCTCTATGCATCTCCACAAACCACACACACACATGCATAAAGTCTCTTCTGAAACCCCCTAACTTTTCGTCATAGTATCTTTCGTTTGGTTGTGAGTTTCACTCGACGTTACGTCATCTTCGAGATCCCATCCCCATCTTTATTTTCGCAACAAGCCTCTGAGTTTTAACCTTGTCCATGCAACTAGGTGTCTATATGCCTGCCTAACGAACGTTCATGCGTGTTTGCGTCTGCAATCACGTCCCAATATGCTCAAACCGACATGCATAAATGATACATTTCACTTTGATTACTTCCAACAGCTATAGTGCCGTTCAGAGCTATTTAGTAGCATAAACGGTCCTTTTATCTTAATATTAATAATTATATACATATATATATATATATATATACTCAAAATATGAGCATATACATGCATACACGTGTATTTATATATATCGCCTAGATACATTCCTCAAGAGTCCCTTGATCTTCTTCAGATTCATGCGCTTATTGTGAATATATTTTTATTTTCATTTGTATATACATTATTATTCTTACCAGGCTGCCGGTTTAGAATTACCCCCAGTTGTGCTTCTGCTCGCCACTTAATGCATTGGTCTGTTCCGGCGAAGTGAAATTCGAGATGCGGATTGCTTGAGAGTGCGAGAATGTGATACTACTACTTGGATGCACCTTTCTCCTGCTCAGCATCACAATCGCCAAAGACGCATCATCTCGCATATTTGTCTCAACCCATTTCACCCAACACGCAAACGGATTTAGGCTCCCTTTTACTCAGCAGACAATTTTGCTGCTACCTTTCATATCATCAGTCAGCCTCGTCTATAGCGTCTTTCCTTACTGTCATTCTCTGCGTCCTACCTCGATTATCTCCTTCCCTTCTTGTTCATTGCTCGCTTCACACCATCATAACAAAATCTGCTCAACTGAAATCAAAACTATCATCTGCCCCAGCTGCATGCACATGCACGCAAGCAGACACACGCACACTCGTGGGAGCGCAGGCGCGTAGACTCGGAAAGCAACATCCTTTACAGAGGCTCCTTCACTCAGTCAACTAGTATCCAAACCGTTGTAGGCATTTCTTAGCACAACATGTATGCCACGAATGAGTAATTATACAAAAGAAAGTATGGCCATCTCACTTTTTATCATCAACATTATAACAATTATTATTACTATATTAACTTGGAAAATGCATTTATCTAAAAGTTCTCTGTGCTTCATTATTTTCCTAATCATTACTGCTAAGACGTAATTTAGATTTATTGGATCGGAATGCTTTCTTCGAACACGCTTCAATTTCTATGCTTTTTTAATCTACAGCCAAGATATTGTGAGGTATTTCATCACGACTAGAGCTTTTTACCAGACTCATGAGTATGCCTTGAGTAAAGCCTAGCCGACTACGTCCAATTCGAACTAAATTGTGAAAATGAGCCTCAACTCCAGTCCTTGGTACAATCCGATGGTCACTAATTTAAGTCAATTCTCTTCCTTAGGTTAATTCATAAATCCCTTCCAACCAACTGTTGCTTCGAAATCGAAAGTGGATTCTCATAAGTCAGATTACCTTAACTTTTGAGTATATTCAGAACTGTTTAACCGCTAGCTAACTACCTTGTTCCTATCTTAATTTTCTTTTACAGGTTTGGAGTCTACCAGTAGAACATTTATATGAGATTTATTCAGCTTATTGAAAAAATGATGAATAATCAGGCTTGTAGTTCATTAAATGTTACATAGCCTTATTTCCCAAAATATATTCTAATCCAGACCGAAGTGGACTGTAGTTCCTATCCCGCCTCAACAGCATCCTCAACGGGATGTAATCAGGGTAGTCAAGATTATACGCTGCACTAATTAGTTAGGCCAAGTCAAAACAGCCGTCCACGCTGGAAAATAATACCTTTCGGAAAATAAGACTATAAAACTCAATAGTAAAGTTAGACATATTCATAGCTCTGTGTGAAAATTCATTTATAAATCTTTTATAACCTCAAACGAAATCGGATAAATACATCTCTTGCATTTTATTTGCTGAAGCCAACTCTAGTTTCAAGCCTGTATCAGTGATATTGTTATACACTTTAGAGAGAATACTTCCAGAATAAGAACCATTTAGCTATTGAGTATTAAATTTCCTATAATGGAAGGTGTTATGTCTAAGGTAAATTCATTGTTATCATAAGGCCAGTTAATTTTAATGTGGAAAATTCAACTATCAATTCTTACATCACGACAAATGACTAAGAAGGACTCAATTTACTTAAAGATATGATGACCAAGATGTTGTTGCCTCTGCTATGGTCACAGTTTGTGGATGTATGGACAATTCCAAAACCTACCCATTTGTCTTTTAGTAGACAGTCTTGCCGCTCCTAATTTTTATGAGCTTATTTCATACTTTGGATCCCTATTTCGTATTGCTGTCACACTGCAATATTAGGCTTCGCTCTGTCTCGTCGAGTTTGAATGAGGTCATCCGAACTCAACTCAACGACTTTCACGAAGTACTTGGATCAATCGTTAGACCATCGGTTTTTCTTGAAGATATGAAGACCAAGATGTTGTGGCCTCTGGTATGGTCGCAGTCTCCTTTCGATTTGTAGAAGTGGGCTGATTTCGTTGTCGTAACTTGGTCTTGTTTTCAGGGAGACTTAGTAGAACGCACT